TTTCTTATATATTGGGACGATAAGTGATTGCGACCAGTCAGATAGGATTACGTCCAGTTCCCAAATTCTACCTAAGACCTCAGTTAATCTTGCTGCTAATACTGGACCACCATCCTTAAAAATCTCAGGAGTAAACCTGTCAGGGCCTGCTGCTCTCCCTCGTTTCAGATTTCCTATGGCTTTTTCAACTTCGTAAAGAGACGGAGGACTTACATTAACTCGCCATTCAGGTTGACTAGAGATCGTGGGAAACCGAAGTGTGGCTGAAGGCCAGTTGAACTGATCCCTAAAGTGTTCTGCCCATCGATCCAATCTCCTGGATTGACAATGAATAATATGTCCATCTTTCTCTGAGATTGTTTCGCTAACGGTCGGGTTCCTAATTCCGGTTTCCTTAACGAGTCTAAACAATTGTCTGCTATTACCTATTGCCGCTGCCTTTTCCATCTCTCTTGCTTTCGCTACCCACCACTGTTCGCGATCATTGCGTAGACTTCTTGTCAGCTTGCGCTTAAGCTGACTCCGCTCTTCATTACGTTCAGAGCCAGGTGGAATGAGTTTCCGAGCATTTATCAGTGAGATAGATGCTGCTGAGATCCAGTGTTGCTCCCTAACCTTCTGGTTTACCTTACTAGCAGATATCACTGCTGTTTCCACAGCTTTTCGGATATCATTCCATGCTGCATCGGGGTGGGCATCACATACATGGCTGTCTAACTGTTTTCCTAGTTGTTCCTGAAATATACTCCTAGCTTGACTATCATTAAGTAGGGCCCTAAGAGGTTTCTTTGCAGGATCTTTCCTACGTCCAGTAAGACGCAAGCAAACGCGCGCTCGCACTAGAGCATGATCTGAATCTAGGCATGTGCTCCAGAATGAGCGACAGTCTTCTATCGAGCCCCTCCATCGGTGGCTGATAGCGATGTGATCTATTTGGGTCCAACGTTGGGACGAATTAGGGGGTCGCCATGTTAAAAGATGTTTATCCTTATGCTTAAAGTTAGTATTTACAAGGAACAGGCGGTTATCTGAGCATAGATGCAACAGACGGTCGCCATTATCTGTTCTTTGAGCCACGACACCATAGGATCCACCTAGGTGTCTTTCCTTATCGCTTAGTTTACCTACTTGAGCATTAAAGTCACCGGCCACTATTACTACATCCGAGCGCCTAGCTTTTCGGAGAAGGTCCGAAAGCTTTCTGTAAAACTCATCTTTTACATCATCTGAGCTGCAGTCAGTGGGAGAATAAGCAGAGACGACTAAGAGGCAACGACGAGTGTCCCTATCTTTCCGGATTCTTACTGTTCCGTTCAGTCGGACAGCGCACAAACGACTGTTTACTGGGATCCACTCTAAGAGAGCTAGTTCTGCCCTAGGACTCAATGCTATACCTACGCCGGCGAGGCCACGGGAAGCAGAATCAGGGCTTCCAGATACACGAAGCGTAAATCGAGTCGGTTCTTTATTTTGGCATGGTGAGGTCAAATGAATGACGCTACTCGGATCTTGTTTGCGCGTTTCGGAGACGCAGCACACATCGATGGCGCGAGATTCTAAAGTCCTAGCTAAGGAAGCCTGCTGTCCTATTTGGCAAAGTGTTCGTACGTTAAAAGCTCCTACGTGTAGTTTAGAGCGTGGTTTCAGGAGACCAGGAATGGCGTTCCACGTACTCGAATCGTTTGCCCTAGCGGTGCGAGGTGATAAAGAGACGTGAGGAGGGTTAGTCAGGAGGATAAGAGAGGTATTAGGAGGTGTAGGAAGGATTTGAATGTGACCACCTTGGTCTCTTGTGCTGTCACGGGTATGAGGGCTGATATCACTTCCCGGCTGCCCACACCGTGGAAGGGTATTTCTTGATGAACCTGAAAAGGAAATTGGATTAGTGTTGGTCTTGACGACCTGGGAGCGTGACCGCAGAGCCCAAGGGACAACTGATTGAGGCCGGTCGCGCACGGCCTTTTTGTGGAATGTTTTTGACGTGTTAGCTCCGTTCTTCAAAGGATCTTACCGCCGGAGACGGAAATCCGTGAGGTAAGGTGAGGTGTGCATTTTTAGGGTCGACCTTTTCTAACCCCACCCCTCCTTGTGGGAAGGCAGCATCGCTGTCATGCTGGTTGTCCGAGGGAAAGCAAGATTCAAGTTCGGTCATTTTTTGTATACTTCCTCTACATAATAATCCACTTATATGCTTAACGAAAGTCTTTGCTTGATCACAAGTGGGAATAGATATAAACCAATCATCAACATAGAAATTATTCTTGACATCATCTACAACATAACCATCATAACCGTTAGAGAATATTTGGGCCGTCTTATTCAGGGCAAGGTTCGCGCAAAATGGCGAGGATGTGGCATCAAATGGATGGGATGTCATTTGAAACTTAGACGGTTCTCTCGATATGTCCCCCTCCTGCCACCACAGAAATCTTGAAGCTCCTCGATCAGACTCAGGGACATTCGCTTGCATGAACATTTCTTCAACATCTACAGGGATTGCAACTGCCTCCTTGCGAAAACTTAATAATATACACATTAACTCAGCGGTGGTATCGGGATCTTGATAAACCATATCATTTGGGGAACCCCCTGCAAACTGGGCGGCACAATCAAGGACCACTCTAAGTTCTTCTGGTTTCTTCATGTTTAATACTGCATGATGAGGTAAATACCATCGAGGGCGATAATAAGACTGTAGATATATTTCAAAGACCCTCTCCGCACAAGACTTAGTAAAATCACTTTCAATACTTTTGATATATCTGATGTGCAGACTGACATCCTTGGACAACATACCCTTCAAACTTCGTAATCTACGGTTTGCTACTTCATAATTATCCACTTTCATATCTGGATTCTTTTTCCACGGTATAGAAACTACAAAATGACCGTTGCCGAAGCGCGTGCCACCTTCCACAATCTTTATAGCCACCTTGTCATCTACTGATAATGATTTATCACTTGAATAAGCATCTGAAAACTCTACGTCATAAGGCTTACGTATTTCGTTCTCCAAGGTCTGTATCTTACTGGTATGATTGACCACTCTTTTCCTATATTCCGGATACGACGCAGGTCCGAAGACCGTCCAACCCAGCAACGTCTTCACAGCGTACGGGCTTTTTCTTCCACCCAACCGCTGGTCTAACACCCAGTGTGCTTCTGGTACGTCGCAACCAATCAACAGCAGAACTTCTTCAGAGTCGAAGTTATCTATTGGTACATCCCTTAAATGTGGCCACTTAACTAGGTTGTCCACTGCCGACCTTGTTGGCTTATGACCTGGTATACCTGCCACAATCAGAGCTCCTTCGATCGTAACATGTCCTGACCGATCTAGAGAATATACCTCAAAAGGGGTCTTTGTGACCGTCATTGTCCTATTACCACCCACAGTCTCTACTACCACTGACGCTCGGTCTTCCTTCAGCCCGAGATACCTCAAACAGCTCTATTTTATCAACGTTTCATCAGACCCGTTATCCAACAAAGCATAACCTACCATTTCAGCATCTCCTAACATCAACCGTACAGGGATCATTCCTAGGCACACTTGGCTACTTAGGGATTTAGTAAATCCACAACAATTCGGGATATCAGATTTATCATTTTCGCTGTGCAGCAAGGAATGGTGTTTCTTCTCACAACCATTAACATTACAACGTTTCGCCAGCTTACATTCATTAACTTTATGCCCTTGCCTAAGGCAGACAAAACAGATGCCATTAACTTTTGCTTGAGACCATCTCTCTTGAACGGTAAGCGCTAAAAATTTTGGACATTTATAAAGAGCGTGGTCCTGGGAACACACCCTGCATTTAGCTCTCGAGTTACTCTCCTGCTCTAATTGCAAGTGACAATTTGTCTTTAAGTTGTGTCCCTTTCTCGGACGATTCGCTAACCGTCCAAACCTACTATTAGCTACTCTTGCGCGGGACGCTATAAATTGGGTAAGCTCGTCAAAAGTCGGTTCTCTATTATCTTCCGTCAATTGATCCACCCGATCCGCCCACTGGGCTTGCATAACTTGAGGTAATAGTCTTACTATTCTTTCCAAAGTAACTAACGAATTTAGATCAGAGGTATAATTCATCTGTTCTAAGACCATAGCGCAGTTTTCCATTTTAATGGCCAAGTTTGATAGTTGCTCCCCGTCAGTATAATCAAAATTAACAGCATTAAATAAATCTTCTAATGTTTCTCGAGCGATTACATGAGACTGTCCGAACAAACGCTTTAGAATTTCCCTTGCTCTCTTATAACCAGAGGATGCTTCCATCATGACACAACCCTCAATAGCTGTCTTCGCCTTGCCCTTACAATAGTGCATGAGATAGAGCAAACGTTGGCTATCATCGGTGACTCTTGATGCTATATACGTCTCAAATTGCCTTATAAACTTCCAGTATCCTTTTGGCTCTCCATCGAAATAACTCAATTCAACCTTTGGTAGTTCTGGGCCAACAACCGGCGCTATAGGCAACATGCTCTTTCCTAGTAATTCAAGCCTTTGTTTCTCCTTTAAACTAAGATTTTTTACGTCATCTGTCATCGAATTAAGACTAGAGTCACTACCATGATAATCAACCCTATTCGAGTCTGAACCATGACACTTAAGGACATCAAAAGGCACTTGCTTGGTAATAAGGGATTCTTCATTAACATCAACGAACATTGAGCTTGATTTCTTTCGACGATTAGTTGGCATTATAAACAAAACGACCAAATATTTCCAGAAACGATAATCAAAATCCGCGAACGATTGCCAAACGACTTCGGCCAATTAATAATTGTTTAGAACTGTAGGATCCAAACCACGTTTGGACTGCTGAAGAATAGCCGACCGGGGATTTTTAGACACGCGCCCTTTCCCGTCAAAATCAGAACAAGTAATCGGGTAACTAGCGGTTCTATAATTCATAATAAATTTAATGTAAATCATTACCTAAACAAATATTATCACCCGGCGTGCACCTAAACAATCATGCATTGGGCATGCTTTAATCTAGTCTATGTCCCGCTAACAATAACATTTTAGCATTTTGCTCTCTAAAATGAACACTGTCTCGATTATTTAAAAATGCTTCCTGCATTTCGCGTAGATTCATTTCCAGTTGTTGGCGTAATTTCCGTTTATTTTCTCTGAGAACCTAAAAAATCAGTAAATAAAAGATTTATTTAAGTTGATATAAAACAAACTATCATCATCAAAATATAACAAATGTTTGAGCTACTACTATTGAAAATGTCGAATCGGTTTGTAAACAGCGATCGATTATAATCAGTTTTTCATTCTTAATTACAAGAAACTGAATAGAACAATAGTGGTGCGAAAGATTTTGCATTCTGTAGACTTGATGGTTTATTCATGAAGAAATTTGACTGTGGTACTGTCAATTCAATTCGGTTGTTTGTTTAATTTGAATAAATCAATCACTTAAATCATTGGTTTTTGAAAAAAAAGGAAACTGTTGTAACGGGTGTGACTGCAGGGTTTGATACGCAGCGTTAGTATCGATCGCTTCTGTGACAGTGACACGGGAACACGTAGTGGACGACTTAGTGCCCTGATTGGCCCTGCTTCGCTGTCTGTCCCAGCCAATTGAGTCAAGAACACAAATCACTGCCTCTGAGTTATCAGTCATTGTATTTCAAACATACTCTATTTATATACCAAGCAAACAAACCACATTGCTTATGTATTACTTTCTATGACGGTTAAATGAGTGTGTTAATTACAACTTATAAAAATTCATTACAAACCCCTTTTAATTCTATGCAGCATTTCAGTTCCTCCTAATCTGATTTAGTTATATTGGTTATATTACTTATTAATTTAAAGTAGCTAATTTTAATTTCTATCATTTTTGAATATCAGTTGTGTTTCTAAGCCTTAATATGTACTTGTCACATTCGATCATTTGAACATTTTACCTATTACTTTCAATCCTTGTATTACTCACTTTTATCCTCTTGGTTCTACGTTTTTTGATCGATGTGTTTTTTTAGCACACTTAAATGCTGTTGTATAGCTCAGCATATATTTTGCAAAACAGATTCTCACATTACCATTGCAAGAAACATTTGTTATACTCAGATATTGTATTAGGATCAGAATTCTCATGAATTAAGGTTTTTTTTAACTGTATTACTTATATTCTCAAAAACCATAGTATTTGAAGTGGATCTCATTCAATCGTCTGATCAGAAGTATTGAAGAGAATTTAGTTACTACTATTCAGAAATCGAACTAATATTTATAAACCATCATCATACATATATAATGCTAAGCTCATTATGTAATTTCTTCCGAATACACTGATTGATCTCACACTTATATGTTTATCTATCTAATTCTAACTATTTCTACATAGTTATCGTATGACTAACAAATTCGCTCTTTTCCACTCAATTGAAAATTTAATAAATCACTTTATTCACATGAATGTATAGACTTATTTTAATACGTTTACTTACGTCCGATTTCCAATTGTATCGACGACCATAACCTGAACATTGAAATCGTTTGTATTGTTCTTCCGTGTAATTATTATTGTTAATTCTGTCGAAGCGTCCAAGTAACCCCGATTGAGATACGCGCAAAATCGAAGTTCCAAAACAACGATTTGTCTACAAAAGCGGTTCTTTATTAAATAATACACAAAATTTAGTTACAAACCTCAACTTGTGAGGTGTCTAGGCGTTTAAACGCGTCGTTCAAGAATGAAAATAGCAAAAGCTTCCTGTAAGAGTAACATAAAGAATGATTACAACATACGATAGTCCAAAGACAGCCGATAGCTGTGTCTAAATTTGGTAACAGTTTATGAACAACCGAAACTCGAACCAAGAGCAAACAATATGGAAACTGATGCATTCAAACAAATGCACAAAACTGTGGATAACCTTTACAGTAATTATATTAAAGTGATTATAATGATAAATACAATTATAAGTAAAATAAACATTAAAGATATATGTGAACATTCCAGAATGTTACAGTACAACTTGAGTTACAACATAAGTGTGAAAATTGTTGGGTATACAGCTGCCTACTGAATGTAAATAAGTAGTATAAAACAACATACAAAAGAGTATAAAAGGAACATGTAGGAACAATGTAAAACAAACTTAACACCGCCCCCCAAAGACAGCATGTCTTTCCTTACTTTCGCTGATTAGGTATTAACGTAAAAACATTCAGAGGTGACAATGGTACGATTTACTCTAGCCACAGTCACTCTGAAAAGTCTCTCTATCCTCTACTTTTCGGTCATCAGCTCCTTCTAATAAACAAATTTTACATATGCCTCTAATAATTGTACCCTTCCACGTTCTGATCTTCACTTGGTTCCATAGACCATCTCCTCCTGGGTCAAAACTTACCACGAGGCGTTTAGACCAGTTATTTCGTGCATAAGTGTCCTCAATAATCAAGACTGGACCGCGAACTTGTAAATCTCGTCTTCCTTGTGTCCATTTTGTTCGCGTCTGTAAGAGTGGTCTATCATTAGGTATTCTTTCTGCTTCAGTCAAACAGGTGGTGAGTGTCTCGTAGGACATAGATACTGCGCTCAAAAGTCTGCGTATGCTTCCTATTAATCTTTCCCATACTCGATGATGATTTGCGTAAGGAGTGTTATGGTGCCATTCTATGTTCCGGTGAGTCATTTCTTTGGCTACTCTACTATCCTTAAAGTCTGGTAATGGATGTTGTATCTGCTTGTCTAACCCAACTAAAGGAGACATGGATACAGTTGTCTTAAACTTCTTATCATCAGCAGCATACTGAATAAAACAATCATCTTTCTGATTCTCTGTTTCATGCTTGATGTCAATAGAACTTTCAGCAGACGCCACTACAGGAGATACAAGTTTCGTATTTGCAGAGAACTGAGTTGTTGTTGCTTTGCAACTAATTGATGACTCGTGTAGTAGTATCACAGACTTAGCACTATCGTTCACGTCAGAAACACTAGGGAGATCTGTTTCGGCAGAGAACATAACAGATGTTTTCGATGACATTAACTCGCCGCTATCTGTTGGAAGAATTTTGTCTGGAGGAGAAATACATCTAAGGTCAATATTCACTACTGTATCGACGTGACTATCGTTGATAGTTTTTAGAAGGTACTCATCGTCAACAGCTGGTAATGAAATAACTTGTTCTAAATCCATTAAATTCTCGTCTGTCGCTTTAGATACAGAATCAAAGGTGTCTATAAGTCGGTTACTTCTTGAATCAGGTGGAGTGTTAAATCCAGAAGAACGAACTGACGGTAAGCCTTGATGAACCCTGGAATCTTCAGTCTCAACAGCGGCTGCTGCTACTATGAGTGAGCGTACATCATCATTATCGACTAAGAGTGCCACATCAGGAGAGTGCTTAAGGCATAAACCAGGATCATCTATGAACGGCAACAAACGATGTGAAGAGTTTTCAGGCGCTACTGTGGTCAAAGTAAGGGGCGGCGTGGGTCCATCCTCGATAGAACTCTTTGCTTCTAAACAGTTTATGAAGACTGAAGTTTTATTAAGTTGACCCGTTGGTCCAAATAAAGCCCACCCTAACATGGTCAGTGAAGCATAGGGTTGTTTAGGTTTTCCGATACGCTGATCGAGTACCCAGTGGGCCTCTGGAACGTCAACACCAAGTAACAAACCAACCTTGTCACAGGCTATGGTGGGTAGTTGTATATCTTTCAAGTGTTTCCATCTTTCTTGGAAGTCCGTTGGTGGGATTTCTGCTCTTTTAATAGGCAAGTTATCTATTGTATATGCACCTTCGATTTTTATTCGGTTGGTCTTATCTAAAGACTCAATTTCGAAATTGGTAAGTTCAGCGTTCTGAGATGACGCTCCAATTACTGAAGATACGTTTAATCTTGTCACTGTACCAGAAATTCCTACCTGCTTTGCTACGTCGCTAAGCAGTAATGTCGAGTCTGAGCCATTATCTAACAATGCATAGGTATCCACATAACTTGTGGGACCATGTAGCCTGACTGGTACAAAGCCTAAATACGTCCCAGTAGTATGAGTAGAGTTACAACATGCTTGTTTAGCATCAAGTTCTGTGTTGTGAAGAATTCTATGATGGCGTCACTTGCATCCATCAATTTCACACAACACAGGTTGTCTGCAGTCTGCGGCTCGATGATTAGGTTTTAAACAATTAAAGCAAAGTTTAAACTTCTTCAGCAATTCTATTTTTTCATTGTGACTTACTTCCAGCAGCTGAGGGCAAGACGCGACTTCGTGGGCATCCGAGCAAATTACACAATGGATTGTCCCTTTAATCAACGAAGTATGGATCTTAGCTCTTATGGAAGCCGACCGGTTGTTCGATATCGTTTGAGCTTTATAGCTTCCGCTTGCTAACCGTCCGTATGTGTTTGTGGCGATTGACACCTTCTTTTCTAAGAATTGCAATAAATCATCAAAATTGGGCTCTAGCCCCTTTCTTAAAATATCGTCCGCGGCCTCCGCCCATTTAAACTGCATACTACGTGGTAGCTGTTTCACTATTCGTTTTATGTTGGTCGAACAATTCAGATCGGTATTCCTGCCCATCTGTGACAAGGCTATCTTACAATTAGTCATGAGTCTTGTCAGTTTCTGTAGGCCAGTTATGTCGTCTTGATTCAATGGTGATCCACTTAAGAGTTCTGTTAAGAAGGCTTCTACGATGTCGTGTGGTCTGCCGAACCGTTCATGTAGAAGCTTAATTGCCTCAGTATAACCTTCCTTTTCTGGTAATAAAACACAGTGTTCTATAGCATCCTTTGCTATACCTTCGCAATAGTGTATCAAGTACATTAATTTCTGAGTGTCATCATTTACTCTGTCAGCTATGTTAACCTTGAATCCCTTCATGAACGTCCAAAATTTCAGAGGGCTCCCGTCAAATTTCGTGATTTCTATCTTCGGTAAGCTTACTGACATACATAGCGCCTTGACACTATCTACCTGTGCTTTGAATTGCATTTCATCGCTCAAAAGTACATTGGTGTATCGGTGACTTGCCGTAACTACTGAAGCTTTATCCTCGGATCGAGACCCCGACAACTCGGTAGTCTCCCTAGGTCTTCTCACTTTGTTTGAAGAGTTCGGAGTTAGTTCTAGCAATCGCTTGCGTAGTTGGAGTTCTCTAATCTCCAGCTCAATCTTTTCTACTTCCCTTTCCCTAGAGTCCACTTCGTCTTCTACACTGTATCTAGTCTCTATATAGTTGTCTCCTACCGAGCAACTGTCTTTGGGGTTAGGTTTAACAATATCAAAGGCAAGATTTAAAGGAATAGGTGAGTTCACCTTAGAAACTGAAGGAATAATATTTTCAGCACTGGAATTGTCTGTGTCTTGGGAACTGTCATCGTTGTACTTCATTCTTCTCGTTCTAGTCATCGTTGGGATGAATGAACCAAACAGGATTCCGACCAAATTCGTTACAGCAAGTATTCCCTCCAATTAGGACCAGAGTTCAGAACTGTATCCACACCAAATGAGACCAAAGTTGAGAACTGTTAATTCTATCGAAGCGTCCAAGTAACCCCGATTGAGATACGCGCAAAATCGAAGTTCCAAAACAACGATTTGTCTACAAAAGCGGTTCTTTATTAAATAATACACAAAATTTAGTTACAAACCTCAACTTGTGAGGTGTCTAGGCGTTTAAACGCGTCGTTCAAGAATGAAAATAGCAAAAGCTTCCTGTAAGAGTAACATAAAGAATGATTACAACATACGATAGTCCAAAGACAGCCGATAGCTGTGTCTAAATTTGGTAACAGTTTATGAACAACCGAAACTCGAACCAAGAGCAAACAATATGGAAACTGATGCATTCAAACAAATGCACAAAACTGTGGATAACCTTTACAGTAATTATATTAAAGTGATTATAATGATAAATACAATTATAAGTAAAATAAACATTAAAGATATATGTGAACATTCCAGAATGTTACAGTACAACTTGAGTTACAACATAAGTGTGAAAATTGTTGGGTATACAGCTGCCTACTGAATGTAAATAAGTAGTATAAAACAACATACAAAAGAGTATAAAAGGAACATGTAGGAACAATGTAAAACAAACTTAACAATTATTATTACTGGGCGGAAGACTTCTCGGTATTGTGGACGTAATAGGTGATGTCATACTAATAATATTGTCATAATACGTTTTTACTCCTCCATGTGTATCATAATGCGTAGTTAAATTCTTGCATTGTTCTGACTGTTGTTGTTGCTTTAATTCGTGATACTTTTGACTGTGTTGTTGTTGTCGTTGAAATGCTTGCAAGAGAGCAGTCATTAAAACCTGTTGTTGAATATTGAATAACGAATTAATCGTTGGATTTGATGATGCATTATTTTTTAATGAGTCAGAAATTAATGAACCAATTATGTACGGTGATATTGAAGTATTATCAGTATTAATGGTGGTAGTATTAGTAATATTATGCGTAATATTCTGTTGTGAATTAGATAAAATAGGATAATGAAATCTTGTACCCGATAATGTATTGTCAGTCGTAATAGTTGAATTAGAAGTAATTATACTAGGAGATGCTATGGTTGTTGTTGTCGTTGTGGTAAAACATTTCGTTCCCGAATAAATACTATTATTTAACTCTGTAGAAAAATTCGGATAAGCATAATGATGACTGTTTCCGAATGAAATTTTTGACATTAATTCCGATGATGATGGACGTGTATTTGTAAGTAGTATATGGTTCTATTATATTCATCGATTATATAGAAGGTGGATGATATAAATGAAGGAAAAGGGGAAGGAAATCAAAAGAAAAACATGATTAGTTCACTAACAAAATCAATATAATGTAATACCATGCATAAGAAAAAATGTTTTTACTCATGCTTAAGTCAGTGTGTTTTTCATACTACTACTTATTCAATAAAGCATTACATGCATGTCAAATAACTTTTGCAACTATAAGATATGAGTGTATATTGCATACATAACCATCTAAGCTATCTAAAGATTAGATAAATAATTTGTTCAGTCATCGGATATCATTACGAGTATCACATATAAACCTCTACTCCTGAAAAACCCAAAAGTGTCTATAAAATATCTAATAGAAACATTAGACTACTTATTTGTTAGTAGTTAATATAGGAATATCAAGAAAACGACGTGAGGCATTGTCAGAATAGGTTTTGTGGAGAATTTTAGAAATTTCACAAGTTGAAATCATCAGTCAATTGAAGCTAGACCACCATGGAAAGCCTGGAAGCACTGGACGGCCGTTTTGTCTTGCTATGGGACTCCTCATCAGTGCGCATCCGACCCCGGACCTCGCGGGATTCGAACCCAGAACCTATTGTCTTGAAATATTATACAATATTAATTGTGGAATTAGAAAGAGTTTAGGATGTTGATCAAAAGTTTCTCAGTAACTTCTAACTTATTTCAAATCTTGCCTATTTCTTATGAATGATCTGAATTGTTTTTTCACATTGGATCATTAATCTACTATAAACACATTGACTTAAAAATAAATACAGTTCAGATCAGAATTCAAAAAAAGCAGTATGCATCGACTTTGTAAACAAACGTAAAATCACTTGAAAGTTCTGGAGATATTGTGTCAGCATGTATGTGCTACGATTACCATGTTAATATTCACATGAAAACGTGTACTATACAAAATAACTATCAAGTTATTAACAAAACAACCGAATATATATTCGTGCGAGGATAAATAAAATAAAGGTATAGTGTTTTTGTCATTACAATGAAACTGTAAAGTATTGACAAAATGAAATGAAAATAGACAACATTCAAACAAACATCACGCTCGTACTTATGACATACACAGTAGTATAAAACGTATTTTTTCTGCATATAAATATATAACGTTACTATGGTTATAATTAGTATTAGAAGTAGTATTTTAATAGTTAACGATGAAATACACATCATAAAATAAACAATAAATAATAAACTATGACTGACTTGTTCTGATAATTATAATTAGCTCCTGAAAGTTGAAATAAACATTTACAATGAATAAATAAATTATTTTATTTTTTGGACCATCAAACAACATTACTACTTGCTATTCAAGTAAGTTTTATTATGTTTATTGGCTAACATGTTCAGGAACAGAGAAATTTAAATTTAAATGTTATTTCCGATTAATTCTATACAGTATCCATATGTTGATTTAAGGTTGATATTGAAACATAATGTAATTTCATTTTTTACTCAAGTACAATGGGACATTGAATACAAGTCACTTGATTTGTGTGTGAGCTGTCCTGGTGTCCAGAGCGAACCAGGTGGTTTTCTTAGGAGGCTACACCCGGAGCCTTCGACCCAAAGGTCTGATCCATAAGGCAGTGGGGCAACATCAGGAGGTACAGTCACATGGTAACCAGTGACCATTTGTTACCTCAGGATCATGGAGCTCATGTGTACCATCGGTTGGAACCAAGGCTTTCCAACTCCCTTAGGTGGATCCTTCGTATCCACTAAAGTGTCGGACATTCGGCTTTCCTCCTCTCAATCTCGTAAACAACACCCCAGGTTTTAGAAGGCACTGAGTAGGACTTCCCTGTCAGTGGCTGTATACGCGTGGCTATGTGAGAGCATTATGAGAGGAGGAGCTGACTCACCATACTCTCGACCGTACCCGGACATTTCAACTACATGGTTCTTTATTATTATGAAAGTCAGACTACTTAGACCAATGTCATTGATGTGAGGTTTTCAAATTTGAAATCGTTCAGTTGAAAGAACTAACTTACTCCGAAGTGTGTTTTTATCTATTAAACATAGATAGTTATTTATACGAATATTCTTTTTGTTTCATTCTGTTATAGAGTAAATCGAGTAGTTTTACAGTTATATTGACAATTGGTGTTTGTATTTATAAATAAGTTTGTGGAATATTCAATTTTTTCTTACTTTTCAATATATGGTTGTAAAGATAGTTGAATTTTATTGAGATTAGAAATCTATCTAATTTGAGTAATCATTAAAAACCTGGAAACATTAGGTCGGCCTTTCACATTAGTATGGGACTATTTTACAGTGTGTATCCACGACCCTTGTCCGTACCAGCGAATGTCTAGCTTCAACCAATTCATAATATTTCCGTGATGTTGCGTTAATCACATCTAATGTTCACATGTTAGACTATTTTCCAGTAAAATAACTACAAATCGCGTACATTATTATTGTCTCAATATTCATTTAGAGTTTATATTGCTATTTTCATCTTGTGAAACCTGAGATGCTTTTTTTCTGGTTACCTTAAAAGTACCCTAATGATTTACATTGATCAATATTAGAATGTAAAGCAAATATTACCATCCTTTCACCACCTAACGAGATTCATTGTGTTCAAAGAATGAAATTTACATACATTGAATGTTAATTAACGCATACACCAAGTATACCATTGAATTATTTGGCTGAGAGCAACACCTCTTGTGTTAAATCTTATGATACTTCTTAGATATACTTAAAATGAACTAGGATGTACTTGTCACAGGTTCATTTCAGTCGAAAAACCAGTAAAAACCAAGGAGTGTAGAACAATTGTTTCGTCTTATAATGAGAGGCCTTGTAAGTGCAAACCTATCCTTAAGAACTTCAGGTCTCTTAACAAATATCCGATAATCAAAAATATCAGATTGTCCAATTTTCAACAACTGGTTGAAAATAAGATTGAAACATTTGATACCGAAGCATTAGTTCTACTGAATAATCGCAGTTTGTGGACGAACACTACTGAGAAGTTCCATACCATGTTGAAACAGATAGTCATATATTATCTGCTTCTTATTAATCCTACAAACGAGATCGATTAATCCTAAAACTACAAAAATATTACTATTAGAGAAAAGTTGATTTTACCTTAATATCATCATGTTTATGAGGATATCCAATTGATTGATCAATTGGTAATGAATCATTCACTGATAATATATCATCATTATTTTGTATTAATGAAGAATTCTTAGATAGTGATGCTGCTATTGATGAGGATGATGTTGTTGATGGTAATTGTTTTATACATGAATATGCAATTACATTTAAAGGATCATTTGATGTCATTTGTATATCTGAAAATTTTGAATAGTTTTTACATTCAATATCTAATGAAATCATTTCATTGGATTTTGGTGAAATTCCAGATAAACCTGATAAATGTGATGATGCTGTTGATGATAATGATGATTGTGTTATGGATGTAATCTGTGGTCGAGAGAATACTGTTAATGGTTGTGTTATAGTATCCATACTATTTGATTCATTATGTAATAGTGAGTAGTTAGTTTTTAATGAAGGTTTACGTGAATATGATTTAACTATTGAGTTCATTTTATCATCACCATGCCATGGAAATGTAGTAGTAGTAGTAGTAGTAGTAGTAGTAATTATATTATCCTTTTCTTCATCATCAATATGTAAACAATTATATCGATCACTTGTATTATCACCACTACTTTCTGTTGTTATTTCAAATTGTGAAATAGGCAATGTGGAAGTATGTTCATAACCACTAGTTAATGATGATGATGACGCTGCTGTTGCTGCTGATGTTCTTGTACCAGCGGCATTTTCAAATTGTGACATGATTTCATTTAATTCTCTTTCACACGTAAAACATTTTCTATGAAGTGATTTTATGTGACTTTTTAAATTAGATTTCCATGCACTACGATATGGACAAAAAATACATATGAATGGTTTAACACCCCAATGTATTCGCATATGAAGACTGAAGTGATATCGACTTTTTGTAGCATATTTACAATGACTACAACAAAAACTTCTAGCTTTACCATTACATGCATTTTCACGTGATTTTTGCATTCCATGCACAGAGCGTAAGTGTTCTGTTACATCACCATGCCATGGAAATGTAGTAGTAGTAGTAGTAGTAGTAGTAATTATATTATCTTTTCCTTCATCATCAATATGTAAACAATTATATCGATCACTTGTATTATCACCACTACTTTCTGTTGTTATTTCAAATTGTGAAATAGGCAATGTGGAAGTATGTTCATAACCACTAGTTAATGATGATGATGACGCTGCTGTTGCTGCTGATGTTCTTGTACCAGTGTTATTTTCAAATTGTGACATGATTTTATTTAATTCTCTTTCACACATAAAACATTTTCTATGAAGTGATTTTGTGTGACTTTTTAAATTACATTTCCATGCACTACGATATGGACAAAAAATACATATGAATGGTTTAACACCCCAATGTATTCGCATATGACGACCGAAGTCATATCGACTTTTTGTAGCATATTTAAAATGACTACAACAAAAACTTCTAGCTTTACCATTACATGCATTTTCACGTGATTTTTGCATTCCATGCACAGAGCGTAAGTGTTCTGTTACATCACCATGCCATGGAAATGTTGTTGGACAAATGTTACATCTAATTGTAGAGTGGAGATGAGAAGACAAGCAAAAACGAGAATACAAGTTTAATTTAACAGCTGATACACAACAACTTAGCTATTATAGATATAAGAAAATTTCTAGTAAATAAGCGGAGTTTAAGAAGAACCTTGGTTTAACACCATTAGGCTTAAAAGGTCATTAGTTCAACTCACATCGTTACTCCAAATCAGCCTTTACCCCCAGCCTTCTTACAGACGACTTTGGACATATATAATTTCAATGTTAAAGATCATGAGTCAGTTGAAGCTAGAACACCACTGCTATGAATCCGGTGTTCATCTTGTTGTGCTGATGCGGTATGGCAACCTGGACCGAGGCACATATGTGCCTGCTCCTACGTTGTAGCTGACTGACTGACTGAGTGACCATGGAAAACCTGGAAGCACTGGACGACCGTTTCGTCCTATTGTGGGACTCCTCAGCAGTGATCATCCACGAAATTGAGCGACACATTCACCATTGCCTTCAGTGAGTTACTATCTCACAACTGACCTGGTTGAACTCCACTGCTCACTACTTCTCACTAGAACTCCAGGATATACCTCTTGAAGCCAGTCACTAGTGAGCATATGTTGAGCATATATAATTCTAAACTCAACATGTAGTTTCTGACACCAGCTGCCTGTCAACTACTGAAGCGACACCTTCGCATTCCTATAACGCAGTCTGTATTATCGGAAGATTTATTCACGGCTACCGGGCAAAGTTTTCAACAGGGTATTGTTAAACAGGATGAAGGACTGCGTAGACGCCCAACTTCGAGACCAACAGGCAGGATTCCGTAAGGATAGATCGTGTACAGACCAAATCGCAACTCTACGGATCATTGTGGAACAATCAATTGAATGGAATTCATCACTCTACATCAACTTCATTGACTACGAAAAGGCATTTGATAGCGTGGACAGGACAACACTATGGAAACTTCTTCGACACTACGGCGTGCCTCAGAAGATAGTCAATATCATACAAAACTCATATGATGGATTACACTGCAAAATCGTGCATGGAGGACAGTTGACAAAGTCGTTCGAAGTGAAGACCGGTGTTAGGCAAGGTTGCTTACTCTCACCCTTTCTCTTTCTCCTGGTGATCGACTGGATCATGAAAACGTCAACGTCCGAAGGAAAGCGCGGGATACAATGGACATCTAAGATGCAGTTGGATGATCTAGACTTCGCAGACGATCTGGCCCTTCTATCCCAAACGCAACAACAGATGCAGGAGAAGACAAACAGTGTGGCAGCAGCCTCAGCAGCAATAGGTCTCAATATACACAAAGGGAAAAGCAGGATTCTCCGATACAACACAGAATGCACCAATCCAATCACAATTGACGGAGAAGATTTGGAAGATGTTAAAACCTTTACATATTTGGGCAGCATCATTGATGAACAGGATGGATCTGATGCAGATGTGAAGGCGCGGATCGGCAAAGCAAGAGCAGCATATTTACAACTGAGGAACATCTGGAACTCAAAGCAACTGTCAACCAACACCAAGGTCAGGATTTTCAATACAAATGTCAAGACAGTTCTACTGTATGGGGCAGAAACCTGGAGAACTACAAAAGCCATCATCCAGAAAATACAGGTGTTTATTAACAATTGTCTACGCAAAATACTTCAGATCCATTGGCCGGACACTATTAGCAACAACGTACTGTGGGAGAGAACAAACCAGATCCCAGTGGAGGAAGAAATCAGGACGAAGCGCTGGAAGTGGATAGGACACACATTGAGGAAAGCACCCAACTGCGTCACAAGACAAGCCCTCACATGGAATCCTGAAGGTCAAAGGAAAAGAGGAAGACCAAAGAACACATTACGCCGAGAAATGGAGATAGACATGAGAAAAATGAACAAGAATTGGATGGAACTAGAAAAGAAGGCCCAGGACAGAGTGGGTTGGAGAATGCTGGTCAGCGGCCTATGCTCCATTGGGAGTAACAGGCGTAAGTAAGTAACGGACGCCATGGGAACGTACTATGTACATGTCGATACTAGCCGGTGCTCGTGTCCATTCTTCATTGAAAACGGATTACCATGCCGTCACATTTTGGCTTACTGCACACAAAGTAATACTGATGTGAGCGTCAGTCAGTCAGCTACAACGTAGCTGTGTGTGCAATAAGCCAAAATGTGACGGCATGGTAATCCGTTTTCAATGATGTGAACGTACAGTCAATTTATGACAGGTGGTTACACTGTGATGGTTATCTGACTCATATTACAGTTGAGAATTATTTCCCGATGCAACTGAGTCAGCCAAGCATGAAGAATGCAGTGATAGCGTTAGTCAGAGGAATGTCTGAGGAACAATGCAGTTCACTTCATGGCTTCATAGTTCACGGTAGACTACCAAGAACCCCATATAGAACAGCATTCTTACACCCATTCAACAACGTCGACTAACGTTGCACTGCTCTTCATGCAACGAGGAACTGTTGATTTGGATGAAACGCTCAGTAACGATGAGGAGGAAGAACTTACTTACTTACTTACTTACTTACGCCTGTTACTCCCAATGGAGCATAGGCCGCTGACCAGCATTCTCCAACCCACTCTGTCCTGGGCCTTCTTTTCTAGTTCCATCCAATTCTTGTTCATTTTTCTCATGTCTATCTCCATTTCTCGGCGTAATGTGTTCTTTGGTCTTCCTCTTTTCCTTTGACCTTCAGGATTCCATGTGAGGGCTTGTCTTGTGACGCAGTTGGGTGCTTTCCTCAATGTGTGTCCTATCCACTTCCAGCGCTTCGTCCTGATTTCTTCCTCCACTGGGATCTGGTTTGTTCTCTCCCACAGTACGTTGTTGCTAATAGTGTCCGGCCAATGGATCTGAAGTATTTTGCGTAGACAATTGTTAATAAACACCTGTATTTTCTGGATGATGGCTTTTGTAGTTCTCCAGGTTTCTGCCCCATACAGTAGAACTGTCTTGACATTTGTATTGAAAATCCTGACCTTGGTGTTGGTTGACAGTTGCTTTGAGTTCCAGATGTTCCTCAGTTGTAAATATGCTGCTCTTGCTTTGCCGATCCGCGCCTTCACATCTGCATCAGATCCATCCTGTTCATCAATGATGCTGCCCAAATATGTAAAGGTTTTAACATCTTCCAAATCTTCTCCGTCAATTGTGATTGGATTGGTGCATTCTGTGTTGTATCGGAGAATCCTGCTTTTCCCTTTGTGTATATTGAGACCTATTGCTGCTGAGGCTGCTGCCACACTGTTTGTCTTCTCCTGCATCTGTTGTTGCGTTTGGGATAGAAGGGCCAGATCGTCTGCGAAGTCTAGATCATCCAACTGCATCTTAGATGTCCATTGTATCCCGCGCTTTCCTTCGGACGTTGACGTTTTCATGATCCAGTCGATCACCAGGAGAAAGAGAAAGGGTGAGAGTAAGCAACCTTGCCTAACACCGGTCTTCACTTCGAACGACTTTGTCAACTGTCCTCCATGCACGATTTTGCAGTGTAATCCATCATATGAGTTTTGTATGATATTGACTATCTTCTGAGGCACGCCGTAGTGTCGAAGAAGTTTCCATAGTGTTGTCCTGTCCACGCTATCAAATGCCTTTTCGTAGTCAATGAAGTTGATGTAGAGTGATGAATTCCATTCAATTGATTGTTCCACAATGATCCGTAGAGTTGCGATTTGGTCTGTACACGATCTATCCTTACGGAATCCTGCCTGTTGGTCTCGAAGTTGGGCGTCTACGCAGTCCTTCATCCTGTTTAACAATACCCTGTTGAAGACTTTTCCCGGTATTGAGAAAGGTGTGATGCCCCTGTAGTTATCACACTTGCTGAGATCGCCTTTCTTCGGTATTTTGATCAGTAGTCCTTCTTTCCAGTCTGTTGGTACTTGTTCCTCATCCCAAATCTTATTGAGGAGAATGTGGAGTATCCTTGCAGTTGCCGCTACGTCTGCTTTTAGTGCCTCTGCTGGGATGTTCTCTGGTCCTGCTGTTTTGCCACTCTTGATTTGTCTGATGGCCATGCTGATTTCTTCAATTGTTGGTCGGCCAACATTGATTGGGAGGTCCGTGGTTGCTGCTTCGATGTTGGGTGGGTTCAGTGGAGCTGGTCGATTCAACAGTTCTTTGAAGTGTTCTACCCACCTGTTTTGTTGCTCTTCAATGTTGGTGATTACCTTGCCTTCCTTGCTTTTCACTGGTCGTTCTGGTTTGCGGCGATTTCCAGAGAGTTTCTTTGTCGTGTCATACAATTGTCTCATGTTTCCTTCTCTTGCAGCCTTTTCCGCCGTCGTTGCTATATGTTCCACATATTTACGTTTGTCGGTTCTGATGCTCCTCTTCACTTGTTTGTTTATTTCCGTGTATTCAGCTTGTACCTTGGCTTTTTCTGCTCTTGTTCGGCTGGTATTGATTGCTGCTTTCTTGTTCCTCCTTTCTTGAATCTTATCCAGTGTACCAACAGTGATCCATTCCTTGTGATGGTGCTTCTTGTGACCCAGGACCTCATGACATGTTGAAGTGATTGCCTCTTTGATCCCCTTCCAGTTGCTCTCCACAGTAGTTCCTTCTCCATTGAGTAGATCATGAAAGGCCTGGAACTTGTTGCTGAGGACTATCTTGAATTTGTTGAGTTTGTTAGTATCCTGGAGAAAGGCCGTATTGAACTTTTGTGATACTGTCTGCCCCGTTGTCCAGTGCTTCTTGAGTTTCAATTTCATCTTGGCGACCAGTAAGTGATGATCTGATGCTATATCAGCTCCTCTCTTGGTTCTCACGTCCTCTATAGTCCTCCTGAACGTTTTGTTGATGCAAATATGGTCGATTTGGTTTTGTGTAGAGTGATCCGGTGAAGTCCATGTGGTTTTGTGTATGCGTTTATGTGGGAATATGGTGCCGCCTATGACCAGCTTATTGAAGGCACATAGATTTGCAAATCTCTCACCATTTTCGTTTCTTTCTCCCAGTCCGTGTCGTCCCATGATGTCTTCATATCCAGTGTTGTCCGTTCCAACCTTGGCGTTGAAATCTCCCATCAGAATGGTCAGGTCCTTTGTTGGGCACTTCTCGACTATTGACTGCAGCCTATTGTAGAATTGATCTTTAGCGTCCTCATTGTAGTCGTTGGTAGGCGCATAGCATTGGATGATGTTCATTGAAATGCCCTCTTTCTTTGTTTTAAACGAGGCTTTGATGATCCTTGGTCCATGAGATTCCCATCCTATAAGTGCATTTTGCGCTTGTTTGGACAGCATCAATGCAACTCCTTGTGTATGTGGTGCATTTTCTTCTTCATGGCCGGAGTATAACAGGAGCTCTCCTGTAGTTAGTCGTTGTTGTCCAACTTGTGTCCAATGTGTTTCACTGATCCCAAGTACCTCTAGGTTGTATCTTCTCATTTCTGCAGCAATCTGGAAGGCTCTTCCGGTGTCCCACATTGTACGAACATTCCATGTACCTAAATAAATGGTTGCTCTGGTTGTCAGAAAGGGCATCGGCCTCGTAACTTCCGAAGGAATTCGGCTTTCATCATGAGGCGTCATAATTCTTCTAAATGAAGATCTTCTGATTCCCAGGGCAGAGTTTAAAAGGTTTGAATAATTTTTTCTGGTTAGCGTTTTTTAGCGAGTTAGTTTTCTACGGGATGGGGACGCTAACCCCATGCCCAACCCTCCTCCTTTATCCGGGCTTGGGACCGGCAGTAGCCCCCGGAGGGACTCCAGGCGGAGTTATGAGGAGGAAGTAATTTCTATTAACTCCGAGGAGTTAACTGAACGGGACATCCAAAGTGAAGAAGAGGATGAAGAGAACATACTATGCGACATCTGTAATCTTGCGCAGCCGCGATGTGAAGCAAGTGATGCAATGGGTTGGGTTTTCTGTCACTGTGAAGCAATGTTTCATACCTTTTGTTCCTACGACCTATCACCGAACGTACGAGCAGTGTACTGTCCTATGTGTGGCGCCATTACAAACTAAAACGGGAACGAGTAAAGGTCCTTTTCAGGGCCACCAACAATTTGATTTCCATAATGTCTTCTCAATTTCTTTCCATTAATATGTAGCGTGGCGTCGAGTTGAGGTTAACTATGAACACCGCTACCAAGAAACACGTGCCAGATAGATCAGAAGGCGTAAGAAGCTCGTTCCAAATGACTCCATAAAATCCCCGAGAAGCCGAATACCAGAAGACAGTTAATGGACCAAGTCGAAGTTTATTAGCTGGCGATCTCGTGGCATCGAAAGGATGCCGAGATCGTGCCAGGATACAACTCTGGTTACAGAAGGTAACCGAATTCGCGCGAAGTTACAATCGAAGTGTAAGCGAAAGAATGGAAGCACAAAATAGCTGTCATTAGCACAGTCAAACAAAAGCACATTAAAACAGTCACTGGTACACTTGGTTATAATAATAATTGATTTTATTAAACCAGTCGTGTTCTCGTGATAAACGTGAGTCACTACAAATATATAACGAACTTAGGTATGCCTTATAGATTAATCATCGAAATACTCTCACACGGCCACGCGTATACAGCCTCTGACAGGGAAGTCCTACTCATTGCCTTCTCGTGGCGGGGGTGTTGTTTACGAAAATGAGAGGACGAAAAGCGAATGTCCGGCGCTTTAACCGGATTCCAAATCAATGGTGCACATGGGCTCCAGTATCCTGCGGGAACAAATGGCGTATGAACCAATCGTTGGTCACCGGCTACCATGGGACTGCATCTCCTTACGATGCTCCACTGCCTTGTGGGTTAGACCTTTAGGTCAAAGGCTCGGGGGGTGGCCCCCTAAGAAAACCACCTGCTTCGGTTTGGGCACCCGGGCAGTATCACAGCCCACACACAAACGATGAATTCTATGTCTTTGGCAACTACTTTTATCGCTCCGAAAAACAAAAACAATCAATCGATTCAAATAATTATCATTACTATTATTGTCATTATTGATACTATTATTATTATTACTGTCGTTATTATTATTATCATTATTATTATTATTATTTACCACATTATTCACCCTCTTTCATACTTATACAGCGGCTCGGCTTTGGTGGAAATTCGACTGTATCTAAACGTTCTCGAGTCACTGTCCGGTTGAAAATTGTATGTTACCACCGAATACGAGGACTGAAGCAGTTTTTCTGGAACCACGTGCGCCATTCAAACTGGCTGCCTTCAACGTTCGCACATTTATGCAGGTCGGACAACAGATAGGGCTGGCTTTGGAAAGTCTTAATATTGATGTTTGTTGTCTATCCGAGACCCGTATTCAAGACTCTGGCGAAGTACTACAAATTCGATCTCCATCTGTCGCTTCGAAAAGCTTGTTTTACGTGCGCTTATCCGGGGACTCTGTGGCATCTTCGTCTGGTCTTGCTGGCGTTGGTGTCGCACTAAGCGCTAGAGCTGAGGCAGCACTAGTCGATTGGATCCCCATTAACAGTCGGTTATGTGCTGTTAGATTAGAAAGTTCCATCAAAGTGAGAAGAAATCGGCGTGAGAAACGATGTCTTTTTGTCATCTCCGCCTATGCCCCGACAGATTGCAGCCCGGATGCAATCAAGGATGAGTTTTACCACCAGTTATCAGTTCTTCTCCAGAAAGTGCGTTCGACAGATATTGTAGTACTAGCCGGAGACTTGAATGCTCAGGTCGGGCGTCTAGGCACAGAAGAGAGTCGTTTAGGTGGCCGATGGGGACTCGTTGGTCGCAGGTCAGATAACGGGGACCGTCTATTGCAACTTTGCACAGACCACAACCTGTTTCTGGCTAGCACTAACTTTCGGCACAGTCATCGCCGATGTGCCACCTGGCGTCCTCCCTCTGCATCTCAAGCCTGGACTCAGATTGATCACATTGCGATCAGCTACCGCTGGCGTGGTTGTGTACAAGACTGCCGCTCCTTTTGGAGTACCTATCTGGACTCTGACCATGCCTTGGTCTGCGCCAATCTTGCCTTACTTTTCAGTGGACAACGAAGTGAACGCCATCAACGGATTGATGTTAGCAAGCTGGTTGCAACTTCTGTAGCCTCTAGGCTAGCTACCACTCCACCGAAAAGTATAGATGAGCATTGGTTGCAATTGCATGACGCCATGAAAATGGCGGGAACAGTCAGTTGTGGGTTTGCGAAACGTCCCGCTTTTAAGCACTGGGTTTCTTCTGGTTCCTTACAACTCATTGAAGCCCGTCGGTCTACTCCGGGTGACCGTGAGTTTGACCATAAACGAAGGATTTTACGTAAGGAAATCGGGCAAAGCTTGCGTATGGACCGAGAAGCCTGGTGGTCGATGCGTGCTAATGAGCTGGAAGCAGCAGCTGCATCTGGTAACTACCGGAAGCTGTTCCAACTCATCCGAGCCACTGGCAGCAAGAAGTCTGGTGTGAGTGAAACAATCTGCGAGGATGATGGGATGCCAATCACTAACATCCATCGACGTCTTGGACGATGGGCAGAATTTCTCGAAGGGCAGTTCAACTGGCCTGCTGCTCCGGCAACATCGGTCAGACTGTCCTGCCCTCCATGGCCGGTGACGACTGATCCACCAAATGAGGAGGAAGTCCGCAAGGAACTCCAACTCTTGAAGCGTTACAAATCACCTGGCCCAGATGACTTACCTCCGGCTCTTTTTAAAGATGGTGGTGACTTTCTGACTAAGGAATTGACGACGTTGTTTACAAAGGTTTGGGAACTAGAGAGTGTACCAACGTCATGGAATGAGTCGATAGTTGTCCCTATCTTTAAAAAGGGTTCACGTCGTTCTTGTAACAACTATCGGGGGATAAGTCTACTTCCGATTGCGTCCAAGCTATTGGCTTCCGTCATTCTTCGTAGGTTGTTCAAAACCCGAGAAAGATTGACTCGCGAGGAGCAGGCTGGGTTTCGTTCTGGTCGAGGATGTATTGATCATATCTTCACCCTTCGCCAAATGTTAGAACACCGTCATACTTTTCAAAGGCCAACAATCGTAGTGTTTCTTGACATCAGGGCTGCGTTCGATTCGTTGGATAGGACTGTTCTCTGGGATTGTCTATTGAAGAAGGGTGTGCCTGAGAAGTTTATTAACATCCTAAAAGCCCTGTATAAAAACACCTCAGGCAGAGTGAGGGCATACAACCACCTCTCTCCATTGTTCCATTCGAGCAGTGGGGTTAGGCAGGGTTGCCCAATCTCACCATTCCTCTTCAACTTTGCCATCGATGACATTCTGGAAACAGCTCTGATGAATGTAAGTAATGGTGGTGTGGATCTGTTGCCTGGAGAAAGACTTCTCGACCTTGAGTATGCGGACGATATTGTCTTACTGTGCGATAATGCCCAAGGCATGCAATCCGCACTTAATCAGTTGGCAATCAATGTCCGTAGGTATGGTATGTGCTTTGCACCTTCGAAGTGCAAAGTACTTCTACAAGACTGGCAGGATTCTAATCCTGTACTCACCCTGGACGGTGAGCAGATAGACGTAGTTGAGAAGTTCGTGTATCTGGGTAGCTGCATAAGTGCTGGTGGTAGTGTGAGTGATGAGATCAATGCACGAATAGTGAAAGCCAGAGCGGCTTATGCCAATCTGGGCCACCTTTGGCGCCTTCGTGATGTTAGTCTGGCTGTAAAAGGCCGGATCTACAACGCGTCGGTGAGAGCAGTTTTGCTCTATGCTTGTGAAACCTGGCCTCTCCGAGTTGAGGACGTTAGACGACTCTCTGTGTTCGATCATCGCTGTCTCCGAAGGATTGCTGACATTCAGTGGCAACACCATGTCAGTAATGCAGAGGTTCGGCATCGTGTGTTCGGGCACAGAGATGATAACTCAATTGGTGTCACCATCTTGAAACACCGACTTCGGTGGCTTGGACATGTTCTCCGAATGTCGTCCCAGAGAATTCCACGTCGTGCATTATTTGCCGACTCTGGGACTGGTTGGAAGAAGCGGAGAGGTGGTCAGTGCATGACATGGTGTCGTGGCATGAAAGAAAGCTGCAAAGGACTGGCTTGTGTTGGTCCTTCACGACTCCCTGGCTGGGGTCCGAGAGATGGTGCTACACAGTGGCTAGAGACGTTATCAGATATGGCTCAGAATAGAAGCCAGTGGCGATCCTGCTGTAACCTTCTTTTACTTTCTTCATAAAAAGTGGTTGTGTCTCCTTTACCTGAAAGATTTATTCTGATTGTACCTCTTCGTCATTACTCTCTCTTTCTTTTGCGTTCCTTAGTTTTTTTTTCTTTTTACTTCTCTTCGAATTCCCATTATTTTGTGTGGCGCATATATATTGGCGCTCTCTTGTACCAATATTTATGTGTTCAAATAAATAAATAAATAAATAATTGATAAGCCATTGTAGCTCATTTATTCGTAAACTCGTTTCTGACGTCCATTAGATATAAAGGTTCAGAAAACCTAGACAAGATTTGCTAATCTAATGAACACTAATCTAATAGTGTGTGTACAGAGAGAGAGAGAGAGAGAGAGAGAGAGAGAGAAATGGATGAGTCAACGATTAGATTAAGCAGCTATTAATGAAGTTGACAGAATGAATATATGCGTAGACTGTAAAACATGTTCATTCCCATATATTTCATAAAAGTAGTATGGATGACTTTGTCCACTGAATAGATTAACAAAAACAGTTTAACTGAGGTAAATGAAAATAAACTCAATTTTATGTGAATTACTATAAATATAATAAGATAATTACTATGATTAATGTGATTAAAGCTCATAGAGA